TTATTTATTTATTTGGTTGTATTTTAGCCAGCATTTTGATGTTATTGGAGGGAGAGGTTTCTCACATTATCCTAGTGGAAGATTTGGTCAGAACTGAGTTGTTGGTTGGTTGCTTGGTACCAGGGATTGAACCCAGGGGTGCTCTACTACTGAGTTCCCCAGCCCTTTTTATTTTATTTTATTTATTTATTTTTTTATTTTGGGACAGCATCTTCCCAAGTTGCCCAGGCTGGCCTCAAACTTTCAATCCTCCTGCCTCCAGCCTCTTGAGTAGCTAGAATCATAGTTGTGTACCACTGCGCCCAGTTCTTTTATTCCTAATGTCTGTTTCGTTTTTTGTTTGTTTGTTTGTTTCCTATTTGCAATTTTAAAAACCACTGATACCATTATCATAACATCATACTCAGATCAAACTCACCTGTCCCCAAAGCCACTGCAGGGGTGCACTCAGCTCTCTCTGATCCTTTTTTGGCTAAGGACCTTGGATGGGCCACCTGTGCTACCCAGAGCAGGCCTGCCCATAGCCCTGGGTTGGCCACTGACCCTGAACTTCAGTCTGAATGTGCCCCTCACAAAGCTTGGAGGGCCAGAGCCGTGCTGTCCCCATTTTGCAGAGACCTTAGATTTCTGGATTTTGCTGTGGTGTCACTTCTCTGTCAGTTTTTCCTTGTAAACAGCCAACGTCATCTATAACACTGATTTGTATGACTGTCACTAAATAGCCAGCCAGCAAAAGTGGCCTGAGTGTTTGTAACTCAGTCCTTTTCCTGGCAAAGAGGAGGAATTCAGGAGATGGAGCACACTTCACCCTGTCACGGCCTCAAATCTTTTGCCCCATGAACACTCGCTACTGGGCTATTGCTCATGTCCTTGGATCGATGAGGGCCCAGTTCTGCCCCCTGCAAACCCGTCTCTGCTGTATTGCCAAACTGACAAGAGACATTATTTGGTCAGGCCCTGCCCCTGTCAAAAATCCTGCTCAGGTTTCTTTTGGGGATGCCTTAAAGTTAGTTCTGGGTTACAGGTGCACAATTCTGTAGTATACTAAAAACATCAGATTGTACACTTCAAGTCAGTACATTTTATTGTTTTATGGTCTGAAGCTTGTATGTGTGTGTGTGTGTGTGTGAGTATGTGTGTGTGTGTGTTGCTGGGGATGCAGCCCAAGGTCTCCTGCATGCTAGGCAAGCACTCTACCACTGAACTACACCCAGCATATGGTCTTACTAATATCTCAGTAAGGCCGTTCATTTGTCTTTTAAGTGCATGAGAATAATGGTAGGGAGTGGGGGAGACTGCTAGGGCATCCAAAGCTCCCCTGAAGTGGCCCTTCCTGTGACCTTCAACCCCCACCATATCCAAGTTCTCACTGTTTCTCCAGAGTACCACCCTGTTTCATGGCACCTGTGACTTTTTGCATGAATTGTCCCTTCCACCTGGAACGTCCTGGCCTCCAGCTCCTCCAGCCGACTCCTAGTTACCCTACAAGACTGAGCTGCAGCTTTGCTTCTCCAGGAGGCTTCTGAGACCCTCTGTGAGTCCCACAGTATCCTAGCTTTCCTCTCCCACTGCTCCTGACACATCCCACCGATTCCACTTTTATCAGTTTGTCTCCTGGAACTGAGTCTCCGTCACCTCTGCGTCTCCAAGACTTGGCACCTCGGTGGGGCTCAGTGCACATGTGTTCACCCTGACCCAGTTCTGCAGATTTCATGGTCGCCTGCTGTTGGGCCCCATGAGTGTGGGAGTCCAGAGTGCAGTCACCGTTTCCCGGGGAGCCGTGGACAAGCAAGGCACAATTCCTTCCTTGCACCCGTCTTTTGCTTCTGATTTAGCAATTACCAATTAGCACTTTAACAAGAACCACCTTCCTCCTCTTTCTGGAATGCCTCTCTGCCGAGGTCCTTCCCCTTGGGCTGGGGGGATACGGGCTTTACTGTACTAACAGAACGAAAGGGGGGAAGGGCCAATTAACATTCAGCTAAGAGAGAACATGATTCCTCCTATCAGCAATAAAAACTGACAGCTCTATCAGAAAATGAGCCCGGGGAAGCCCACAAGCCCGGCAAGGCCAGGTGGGGGGGAGGGGGTCTGCAGATCCATCAGGAGTGATAAAGATGGCTGAGGGCAGAGCGGCTGCTGGGGAATCGCTGGCAGCCAAAGGAGGCGCCTGGGGAGGCCAAGAGCTGGCTCCCGACTCCTACTCTCCATGCGCCCCGGGCAAGAAGGCTCCCTCTCCACGACGCTGCTCCCCGTGCTCCCGTTTCCTCTGACCTTATCATAAAAGGAGGCCACGTGGTGCCTATTTATGGTACAGGACAGTCTGGGGAGAGGAGGCTCACAGTGGGCCAATTCCGAGGCTGATGAAATTGCTCTGGCCTCCGGATCTCTCCATGCGGTGAATGCTAAGCGCGGGGGCAGGGCCGCCACCGACTCCCCGCAGGCGCCTCCAGCCTTGAGTCAGGCGCACGGAGGTGGGTTGTTCTGCAAATCCCGCTCCTAAGCCGAGCCGCTTCCCAGAGCCCCAGTGCAGTCGCTGCTGCTCCGAGAGAGACAAGTGCAGGGGAGAAAGCTGGGGAACGCCCTCCGTCAGTGGGAGAAGAGGGCCAGCACTTAAAAATATGGCCACTAAATTTCTGTTTCACATATGAGCACGTTGGCTAAAGAGAAGAGGCCAAAGACAATGAAATGGCAAGTGACATGAAAGGGGTCCCTGTCATCTGGGGCGGTGTTTCCAGGGGAATCAGGGAGAGTCAGTTGGGGGCCGAATGGAAAGACCCCGAGAGCAGAGCGAGGGCCAGTGCGTCCTCCAGGAGGCTTCTGTGCCCATCAGGTGAGGCAGGGCCGTCTTCAGCAGACAGTGACGGGGTGGGAGGGGCAAGCAGCATGGTCAGCTGTGGCTCTCAATCACTCCCACAAGTTTTGAACTCAAATTTTTCATCAGGTCCAAAATGATCTACTTTTTTTAATGTCCTTGGTACAGTAGATATAAAATGTCAGTAAACTTAAGGCTTTTAATACTCAGGAATTGATTCCAGATGAAATCACCAATGAGTTCAGACAGCTCATGGGTGCCATGTCCTCGATGGTTATTAGAAGGCGTCTTTCAAGACACATTGCTGATTTTTGAGGCTAGCAGCAAGGAAATGCTAGCTGTTGTAACAAACAACTCCCCAAACACTAATGGCTTCACCCCAGAGACACGCGTTTCTCACCCACAGAACTGACTAATGGGAATGGTAGTGGCGGGTTTAGGCTTTCCTCCATACAGCGACTTGGAGACCATGCGCCTGCCATCATCTGGATTGACTATCCAGTAAGGCCTGTCTGTCTCTGTCAGTAGGAAAGGAAAAGGGGAAAGGATATCTCACTGTGCAAGGCTGACTCATTCTTCAAAAATCAATCAATGCCCGTCTGAGCTCTTGCCTAACATGCCCAAGGCCTGGGTTCGACCCCTAACATGCAAAAATAAACAAAATCAATTAGTGTAACCTGCCTATTAACAGGCTAAAGAGGAACAATTACACGATGATATCAATTGATGCAGAAAAAGCATGTGACAAAATCCAACATCCATTTATCACTTCGAACAAACAACAAGAACAACAGAACTCTCAGCAAACTGAGAATAGACTGCTCTTCAACTTGATAAAGAACCCTGCAGGAGCTGGGGTTGTGGCTCAGTGGTAGAGTACTTGCTTTCATGCTTGAGGCACTGGGTTAGGTCCTCAGCATCACATAAAAATAAATAAATAAATAAAGATATTGTGTCCATTCACAACTAAAATATATATATAATTTTTAAAAAGAACACTTGAAAAAAATTCTACAACTAATAATCCCAGAGATTTTGATCTTTTCAGTTTTTATTTTGAGTCCATTCAAAGTACTTTACAATCTCCCTTTTGATTTATTTTTTGACAAATAGGCTTTTAAAAAGTGTATTATTTGGGCATTTTCAGGGATCTTTCTGTTATTGATTTCTAATTTAATTCCATTGTTGTAAGAAAGCATACTTTGTGTGATGTGAATCCTTTTAAACGTACTGAGGCTTGTAAATGACTCAGAATATTGTCCATCTTGATAAATGTTCTGTGCAAACTTGAGAAGAGTTTGTATTTCTGCTGCTATTATTGGGTAAAGTATGAATGTCAATTAGGTCAGGGTGGTTGATAATGTTCAAATCTTCTATATATTTTCTACTTTTCTGTTCATTTTTATATCAATTATTGAAATTTCCGGGGCTGGGGATGTGGCTCAAGTGGTAGCACGCTCTCCTGGCATGCATGCGGCCCGGGTTCGATCCTCAGCACCACATACAAACAAAGATGTTGTGTCTGCCGAAAGCTAAAAAATAAATATTAAAAAATTTAAAAAAAAAGAAATTTCCAACTGTAATTATCAACTTATCTCTCTTTACAGTTCTATAAAATTTGTTTCAAGCATTTTGAAGCTCTACTGTTAATATTTAGGATGCAATATCCTTTGAATGAATTGACCCTTTAATCATTTGTAAATTACTTTCTTCATCCCTGGTAATATTTTTTGCTCTAATATCTACTTGGTCTGATATTAATAAATCATTGCAATTTTGGGGGGCATTAATGATAACATGATATATCTTTTCTACCCTTTTGCTTTGAACTGATTGTGTCTTCAAATTTGAAGTGCTTTTCTTCCTTACCATTTTTTTTTTTTTTTTTTGGTAGTACTGGGGACTGAACCCAGGGCCTCAGTTATGCTAGGCAAGGCTCTGCTACTGAGCTACATCCTCAGCCCTTAAAATGTGTTTCTTATAGATAGCATATTGCTTTTTAAGTCCAGTCTGATGGTCTCTACCTTTAAATTTGGAGATTTAGACCATGTATATTTAATGTGATTAGAATATGGTTAGGTTTAACTCTGACATCTTGTTACCCATTTTATGTATTTGTCCTACCTATTCTTGTTTCCCTTTTCTTCTTTTTCTGTCTTCTTTTGGTGAAACTGAATACTTTAAAAAAAATATGGAGCATTTCATGAATCTGTGTGTCACCCTTACACAGGTGCCATGCTAATCTGCTCTTGTATCATTCTTTTCTAGCTAAGGTCTCTATTACCAGTGTGTTACTAGTTTTTAGGCATTTCAAGTGAATGGAGTTCGGAAATAATTTTATTTTTAAAGAAAAAATTTATGAATTGCTTTATAATTTTAGTATTTGTGCTACCAAAGCAAGCACATGACTAAATATATTTTAAAGACTTGTTTAGTTGCAGATGGACACAATGCCTTTATTTTATTTATCTATTTTTTTTATGTGGTGCTGAGGATCGAACCCAGTTCCTCACATGTGCTAGGCAAGCGCTCTACCACTGAGCTACAACCCTAGCTCCACGACTAAATATTTTTAATGTGTCAATTATATCTAATGTGTTGGCTTATGAGTTATAATTCGTTATTTTAATGATTGTTTTAAGGTTTACAGTATACAACTTCAATTTATCACAGTCTACCTAAAAGTGCTACTCTACCACTTCATATAAAGTCTAAGAACCTCAAAGAGAAATAAAGGGAAGGGAGGGGGTAGAAATCGGAAGGACAGTAGAATGAACTGGACATAACTTCCTGTGTTCATATATGAATACACGGCCAGTGTAACTCCACCTCATGTACAACCATAAGAATGGGAAGTTATACTCCATGTATGTATTTGTCAAAATTCACTCTACCGCCATGTGTAACTAAAAAGAACAAATTTTAAAACATTTAAAGTCTAAGAACCTTATAATAGGGCATTTCCATTTCTCCCCTCCTATCTATTAAAAAGATACACAGATTTGTAGCATCACCTCCAGTTCCATTCCCACATGACAAGGTTCCTCCTGGCTTTCCTCCTTTCCCTGTTTGTATCTCCTTCCTCTGGCTCCTGCTATTTCAGTCCCTGTGCTTAAGGCCACTCTTCTGACCTTGTGGGCTGCCCTTCACCTTGAGTGTGGGGCCTGACCCCACTCCCACAACTGGACTTGGATATGGCTGCTCCCAACAACCCACCTTGTTCCCATCTGCCTGTGGCTTTTTGAAGAAGAGAGGAAGGCAAAAGCCAGCAAATATTTTTATAAAGTAGGAAAATATATCAGTCAACTTTCTATCACTGCGACATTAATATCTGCTTATAAGGGGAGAGGTTTATTTGGGTTCGTAGTTGGAGGGGTTTCTGTTCGTAGTCAGTTGGTCCATTGCTTTGGGGGGTGTGAACGAGTGAGGGAGGAAGCTGCTCACCCCACCGCGGCCGGCAGGCAGAGAGGGAGGCGGGAAGGGCCCCTCAGATCTCCTCCAGGGGCCTCCGGTGGTGCCCAGTATCGCTCCAGTCTGGGGACGGAACCTTTAGCACAGGACCTTTGGGGTCCCTTCCAGACCCTGGCAAGGAGGCAGAGGGAGGCCTGCAGGGGTCTGTGAGAGCTTTCTTCCTCTTAGCGTAACTAAAAGGGCTCATTTGTCCTTCTTTTCTTTTTGTTTTTGTCTAAACCCTCAATTAAGGAGCCCTATTTCCTTTTAGTAGAAAATGGTATTTAGAGGTCACAATCTTTTCGCTAAGTTCTCTGCTACTGGTGGGTTATTAGTCCCTATGTTTTTTCCAGTGGATGGAATTGGGAAATAGTTTTGTTTTAAAGGAGAAAATGGATAATAAGCTTATGTTTATATTTCCAGCTTAAATTTGGGATGACAGGGTTTACACATACCTTCTTTGATTTTATATGTGTTTCTTCTTTTCTCTCATGTTGAAAAATATTGCTTTGGGAAATGAATAATTACTTATTTTATCGTATGTATATAATAGGTTATACATTATACTATTATATGTAGCAGAGTATATTTAATGTATAGCATATATTTCAGAACATCAGTATTATTGCTGACCCTATGATTACTGAAAACAATTTAAGGTTTCTCTGACTTTTTATCTGTTTGCTGGGGATCTCATTTGGGGTGTATGATCAAATTAATTTCTCTTGAAATAGCTCCTGAGTAATCAAGCCATTAGCTGTATACAAGGTTACGTCTGTTTCATTTTGGCTTTTTTTTTAGGGGATTTTTTTAAAATTTCAGTTTTGTTGTGGCCTGGGATTTTGTTGTTTCCGTGGTTCCGGGGATGGAACCCAGGGCCTTGCGCGTGCTAGGTAAGCTCTCCACCTCTGGGCAGCACCCTAGTCCCTCCCACTCTGTGTGTAATTGAATAAAGCATCTATTGTGTTTCCAAAGTCAAAGCTGATGAACCAAGGACTTTTGGAGAAGTCTGGTTGATCCTACCCCTGACACATTGTCCCTTTCCTCCCTCTTTGTGTGATCTTATTTAAAGTTTCGGTTTTTCTTTTTTAAATATAAACAAATACATTTATGGGCTTGGTCCCTCTTCCCTTCTGGCTTAAACGATCGTGCACTGAACCCCGTTTCTCCTCTAATGGACACTGAGACCATATCTCAACTGTGACTTTACAGAGTTGCAGTGGACACAAGTTGACTGGTAAGGGCTCGTGCCAAGTGCCTGGTGGAAAGGTGTGTGCTCCTCAATTTTCTGGGCATGGTGACTCCCCCTCGTATATGCAGAGTGGCCTTCATTGGTCATGGTCAGCGCGGGCCCTGAGCCTGGCATTGCGCTGAGCACTTTATGTGTTATTTTTTGATGGTAACAAACCACCCAAATCTTAGCCTAAGGGAGCACACATCTAGTGCCTGGCATTTCTGTGGTTGCAGCTTGGAGGGGTTCTCTGGCTGTGGGCCAGGCTGCTGTCACCTCAAGGCTTGACAGGGGAAGGAGCCCTTCCAAGTTCACGCGGGCCTCTCTGCAGGGGAGTTCACAGTACAGCTTCAAAGCAAGCAGGTGAACAGGAGGGGGACAGGGAGAAGGAGAGGGAGAGAGGGAGGCAGAGAGGGGAAGGAGGAGAGAGCCAGAGAGGGAGGGGCCTCAAGGAGAAAGCCCTGGTCCTCCCATTCTCTTGGGTGGAAGGAGGCAGCGAGTGCGGGCCCCCACGCAGGGAAGGGTTCCACAGGCTGTGAGTGCCGGGACCGGGCAGCTGGGGCTCACACTCACATAACCATCGTAGCCTCAGGAGGGAGGATGTCTATCCTCACTTACAGGTGAGAAAACTGAAGCAGAGAGAGGTGCCACTCACCCAGGGAGCCAGAGCCAGTGCGTAGAGCTGGCATCAACCCGGCAGTGTGGCTGGAGGTTCCTGGGCCAGCGTAGCCAGTGGCCAGCTTGCTCAAGCACCTCTGTGTTCCCTCTGCTGTGTCAGCTAAGTCAAGGTGGCCGTCTCAGGTCCCCTTGGGCCTCTATGAAAACAGAAATGCAAACCGGAGCACAGTCAAGGAGATGACAGGAGCAGCCAGGGCAGGTGCAGGAAGGGGCTCCGTGAGGGGAGGGTGAGGCCACTGCGGCCACCGATGATCGCCCCTCCACCTCCTGCTCCCTGAGGTCGCTGCATTAATGTGTGCGTTTTGTTAAGTACTCAGTGCCCACTAGACCGTCAACTCTGTGACCTTAAGGTGTCTGTCCCCTTCTCCACTGTTTTAGTCGGCTTTTTCACTGCTGTGACCAAAGACAGGGACAATTACAGGAGGAAATGTTTACTGGGGCTCATGGTTTCAGAGGGCTCAGTCCGCAGACAGCCAGCTCTGTGCCTCAGGGCTCCAGGTGAGGCAGGACATCTTGGAAGAATGTGGCGGAGGGAAGAGTCTCAAGACCTCACACCAGGAAGTAGGGAGAGAGCTCTGCTCAAAGACAAAGTCTGTACCCCAGAGGCACGCCCCAGGGACCCAGCTCCTCAGCCACACCCTGCCCGCCTTCAGCCACCACCCACTCCATGAATCCCTATCAGGGGATTCATCACTGATCTGGTTAAGGCTCTCATAACCCACTCATTTCACCTCTAAACCTTCCTGCAATGTCTCACACTTGAGCTTTTGCGGGGCACATAGCTAAACCACAGCATCCACCAGGTCTTCCTAGAGCCCTGGAGGTGAGTAGTCACCAGCCGGTGGTCAGCACGGGTCCCAACATGCCTGAGGCAGCCCAGAGCTTTATTTCTTCATTTTTGTTTTTGAGGTCCTAGGTTTCGACCCCAAGTGTTCTACCTGTGTACTCTATTCTCAGCCATTTCTATTTTTTTATTTGGAAACAGGGTCTTGCTGAATCTGGCCTTGAACTTGCAATCCTCCCGCCTTGGCCTCCTGAGTCTCTGGGATCACAGGGTACACCATGAGGCCCAGCAGCCCAGAGCAGCTTTTCTAACACAGAGGTCCCTGATGCTGGTCCATCCTTTCAGATGCATGACGAGATCCCCGCCTAGATCTGCACCGCGTCCCCTGGCGGCCTCTCTAGGCATCCTGGGCTTCCACGGCCCACCCTGAGCCATGGTTTACCCACCGACCCGTTCCACAGTGGCCCCTCCACGCCAGGGACTCTGTCCTCTTCAGTTTTGTCATGGAGCCTGAGGCTCCCAAGGCACCTGTGTGGAATGGAGGCATGCTGGGGTTGGGGGGATCACTGCTCATCCCCTTCAGGGGCCGAGGGGGGACTTGCTGAAGCACAGGCCCTGGGGGGCACAGGCAGGGGAGCTGACTAGGCTCTGGATTTTCTATAGATTTGGAAATCAACTTTGGGGCAAAATGCCTGGAGCCCTGGAGGACAGGGACTCTGCAGTGATCAGCAATGACCGGAAGAAGCCCCAGCAGAGGCTCCACCCTGGGCCGAAGCCACTTGAACAAAAATATTTCAGAATCTGCCCCCAACCGATTTTATATCTCAAAATTCCTGACCTGGCTTCGCCCTGGCCTGAGCGTGCATTCTTCTGTGGTTTGCGGTCAGTGCTAGATGTCCATCAGGAAGCGACTGTCCCCACCCGCCATCCACAGGAAGGGTGCAGGGAGTCGAAGCTGGGGTGCATTTCCTGGAGCACGGATTTCTCAGTTAATCCAAAGGGACAAAACCCTGCCTGTCCAGAGTGTGCCCCCGAGGGGACCTGTTTTAAACCTTTAAAACAGACATAAGAGGTAGGAAGGGAGCTTTGCAGATTTGGGGTAGAGAACATTCCAGACAGAGGGAGTAGCCAATGCCAGGGCCCGAGG